AAAGATGATGTGGAACTACAAAAATGTATGGAGACAACTGGTTGAGAACTGTTGAACAGCTAACTTATCAACCTTCCTTAAAAAAAATACTATATATATATTCGATTTTAGGTAAGCATGAGCCACAGATAGCCATGAATTTTAAAATTTGATGAGTCAATGGCTATTGCAGCATACAAAACTGGTGTGTGGGGTACATTTGCATAAATATGTATCCATACAAATATAATCTGTGCTTCAAGTAGTCTCAGTGTCGTCGTATGCCTGTAGGGAAGGACACAAGGACAAATGCCAACGACGTTCTCACTAGTTTCTCTTCAAGAAGAGCTGTTTGCCATCCTTTTTACATTAAGTACTGGTCTGTCTTCTGAAAACTGCTACTCTGATTTTTGCCTGTCGTTAGAAGGTAGGCTGGAAAAGTTCTTTGCGGGAAAAACACGCCCTATAATTCCTTTGTGAAGCGGTGAAGATCCATTTCCCATTAGAAATGGGGTGAGGTGCTGTCATAAATTCAGGTGATCCACGTTATATTGTCGAATGCCAATTATTTTGGTTATCCTTCATCACTGGAACAGTCTTTCACTTTCTTCGCCTCACCGCCGTCGCTCTGCCCGACCCACAGCTGCGGAGGAGCTGCACCGTGCTGCTGTCGGAGCGTCTGGAGAACAGTGTCGTGCAGAGGCAATTTGAGGAGCTTTTCGAGCACACACAGTCAGATTTATTACTGGGTAACTTTATAGAATAATCTACCTCAGGACGTTTGTAACAGAACAAAGAAGTTAACAGCTAAAATGATTTTTTTTTTTTTAAAGAAGAGGCAATACTGGGCAGTAAACATCTGCCTTATTTAACATTTTAACTAACTGGCTGTCAGCTAGTGCTCCCTCTCTTCTAAGTTAACCTGAGACCTCTCGAATAAAGATGAAGGCTTGTTTCTAAGTTTTGTGTTTAAGGTGACTACTCACTTTGCTTTTATCCATTTCTGTCCCCGCTTTGGGGATAGAGCAGTAGGCAACAATTGTCTCTTAGTAGCTTTTTAATATACACAGAACGTTTCCAGAACTAAATTAAAGAACATCCACTGCCTTGCAAGCATGACTATGCCTTTAGCAATTCACATTTAAAGAAATATAGTTACAACATTAATCCCTATGAGACGTTTAGCCAGAAATTCATATTCATCAGCTAGTTTTCACATTACAGTCTGTGAATCAAGGCTTCTAGGCAGGTTTTGTTTGTTTCAGGGTTTGGTTTGTTTGGGTTCCATTGGTTCAAGTTTCAGCATTTACAAATACACTGTCTCTAGTCCATAGTTTTTCTTTGTATTGAGTATTAGGTGGTAGCTAGGACTCTTATCTGTCACCTGAGTAATAGCGATAATATCTTTGTTTTCGTGATTTTGTCTCCTGAAGGACTCTTAAGGACCTTTTGAGGGACTGGTCTGGTGATGCATTTCGTACTTTGAAAGCTGCTCAAACAGCTCCTGAAAAAGCCTCAAATGAAATAATCCTGAGACAAACGTATATATTTTACATCATGCAATAAAACTAATGACTTTGGGGAATTTAATGAACAGGCAGGCAAAGATGTCTGATTGAGAATGTCTTCCCCATAGCTGTATCCTTTTTCCATTGTCGTGATACCAACCCTGCTGGTAGATGAGATTAGATGAAATCACTGTACTGCTGCTGTAATGTATAAAAACGTGCCTTCTCAGGCGGACAAGACTTAGGTATTTTTAATCAGAATATGATTCAAAAAACATTAACAATCTGGTTAGTTTTTACAGCTTCTAGTCTTTTCTTTGTGGTGTTTCACCTTTGCATGGTGAGTAGTCTACACGTACAGCATCGCAAACTGGGTTTACCTGTTGCAAACTCTGATCATCCTCTGACTGAGCGAGAATTTTCCAGTCAGTTTTCCAAGTATGAATAACTAGTGAAAAATCAGGCTTGAGATTTTCGGAGTTGAGACTATATTTGCTGTCATTTTTGAAAAAAATCATCAATGTATGGGTTTGACAGCTAGACAGTTACAAGAATGACCTGTTTCATTACCAAAAATTCTTGGTAGTTTTTTGATATTCCCAAGCGAAACCAGAAGTCGCATGAACTCGAGTGATGTTTTTAAACAAAGTTACTACGCTGGGTGATGAAGACTAGCACCTAAAATGTGATTCCTCCCCAGTGTGGGACAGATCTATGTCATCAGAAGCAGTAGCATAAAATTTACATTTTGTGGAGGTGAGACTCTTCCTCCTTATTAGGAGGAAAGCTAAATAATTTAATGTCTGTAAACTATTTTGAGGAAAAGAATGACTTCTCTATATAGTCTCTGCATGTGTATGTCTTTATGTATATACTTTGGATACTGTTCCTTCAGTGGTGTTATGGTGAATTAAATTGCTACCGTAAAGAGACAGAGAAAAATAATTTACTTTAACAAAGTATAAAGCATGTCAGTAAAAATGCCATCTCTCATCTAAATGTTTTACAAATACTGAAGGCTTTTATAGTTTTAGGAGTCATGTGCCAACCAGTTTTATTAATCGGTGATAATAATACTGTCTCTTCAACATAGGATGTATTTCTTTAGTTCCCAGTGTGTGATTTTAGCAATTTAGCATGCTTATAGAGAAAGACTAGTAGTGATTATGTATAAATCACAGGATCATAGAAAATGCATAGAAATGCTTGTAGGTGTTTAATAACTAAATAGTGCTACCAGACTCAGTTACACTTCTCTGATGAAAGGCTCATTTTTTATTTCAGCTCACAATGCATTAACAAATACTGTAATCACTGTGAGCTTTAGACTGTGGCTTGGTGCTACGATTGTAAGAAGAAATAGATGTTTACTAATTATTAGGCACACTTGAATCCAGATCCTGCAAGTGTGTATGTGTGTCTCCGTGTATATATATTGCTGTAGCTGCCTGAGAAATAATGGGTCACTATTTGCAGGACAGTGGTCGCAACTGAGTCACAGTACACAACTGTGAAGCATTTTGACTTTGTAATTAATTTTTGTTAATGTAAAATACTCCTATTTCCTTCCTTTTATTATATATATGTATGTGTGTGTATATATACGTAGTCTTAGTGAGATTTATAAAGAGCACTGCAAAAAATCAAGAAATACAGATTGGCTCATTGTCATATCATCCTGCAATGAGATATTTTTATGAGAGAGGTGATTTTTATCTTGTTAAAGAGAACAGATGTCATCTTCGAGGGATGGAATCTTTACACAGAATCCCAGAAAGTTAGGGGTTGAAAGGGACTTTTGTGGGTCATCTAGTCCAACCCCCTGCCGAAGCAGGGTCACCTACAGCAGGCTGCACAGGACCTTGTCCAGGCGGGTCTTGAATATCTCCAGAGAAGGAGTCTCCACAGCCTCCCTGGGCAGCCTGTTCCAGTGCTGCATCACCCTCAGAGGGAAGAAGTTCTTCCTCATGTTCAGCTGGAGTTTCCTCTGCTTCCTTATGTGCCCGTTGCCCCTTGTCCTGTCGCTGGGCACCACTGAACAGAGTCTGGCCCCATCCTCCTGACACCCACCCTTGAGATATTTATAGGCATTTATTAGGTCCCCTCGCAGCCTTCTCCAGGCTGAACAAGCCCAGGTCCCTCAGCCTTTCCTCATAGGAGAGGTGCTCCAGTCCCCTCATCATCCTCATAGCCCTCTGCTGGACTCTCTCCAGTAGTTCCTTAGATACATGAAGTTCTTGCCTGGTTTAGCTTTGAATTGATTATTTAAATGACCATAATAGAACTGAATTTTGAGAACAGTAGATAACCATCCACTGAGTAAAAACGTCTATCATATCTTATGAACCGCGTGTTTTGACAGTGCATCAACCAGAATTTAACCAGTGCAGGTGAAGGCATTCTTTTGTATGCTAAAACATCAGAGTGTTTCAAATCTCAATTGTTCAGAATCCTGACAAGGACGCTACTCAGGCAGAACTATTCAGAATAAAATGAATTAAGTGAAAATGTGTAAGTTAAAAAATGAACAAACAAAATCCTAAATCCGTAATGAGGGCAAAAATTTCCTTTTTCTTTACCTTAATAAGAGTGAGCATTTTTCTTTCTGTTTAATTGTGGTGTAAATTGCATCTATGCTGAAGAAGCATACATATAAATAATACTTTGAGAACATGGTTATATTTAATTTCACATAGAATAGTATGAGACGCTGTGCTGAATATCTGCAGTTGGTGTAGTAGAGGAAGAGAGAGAATCTCCCTCGTTTCGTGCAGGTTTGCAATCCTTCAAATTTTTGCTTACTTTTTTGCCAGCATATCTAGTTAACAATAAACATGAACAACTTCTGAATAATATGCTGTATGTTCTTAATAAACTTACAAAATGAGCCCATTAAGAATAATTTGGAAAAAAAAATAGACTGGGTTTGCATTTAGTATTAACATCTATGCTAGCATTTACTACAATTCCATATAAACGTTAATTAAACATTAAACATTAATAGGACATTTTATGAAATAGGATTTTCTTAATGGATACAATTGTACCTTCATGGAGAAAGATGGAATAGACTTTGTATGAAGAAACTTCACTCAATCTAAGACTAAAATAGACTGACTTTTTTAAAGACAGGGTTCAGTTTTAACTTGTGACAAAACCAGGCAGAAGGATGTCCTTGATTTCATCATCTCTCTTCTGAATAGTTGTGTCTCCTGAGCAAATAAATGCGTGTTCTTTATTCCATGCTAGCGGCTGTGTGAAAAAGGGTCCAGCATGGTGCACTTGTGTATGAAACATTACATTTGCTGTATATATGTGCTTTACCTGAATATGCTGGGTTTAAGACTTCTCTTTCTAAACATATGTACATAAACCGTGCTGTTCACCTGTACCTGTTGCTGCCTGTATTTGCCTGCAGAACAGGTTTTATTTTGCTTCCCGCATATCCAGTTGTGCCGTTTTCAGTGGATTTCTTTGTTGTAAGGAGGATTGTTTTTCATTTTTATTTTACAGAGTTACATACATGGAAGCAGTCAGGCTCAGTTTGTTGCGGAATCGCATATTATTCTGCTGCTGAGTATCCTTCAAACTGGTGATGAATAGGAAAAAACAAGCTGAGGCACAGCGTGCTGTTAAATGAAATTGCTCTGACAGTGGATCTCGAACTTTTGAGCAGGTATTGTGTTTTGGCTTACTATATGTTTCAGTAAATAGTCAGTGTTGTTGCTATTTACGGCCAAGTAAAGCTGACATTGCTTTTTACTAATGTGTACCTTGTTAGCTTGTACCTTGTTATCTCCTTTGTTACTCTTGTGCCTGGTTACTAATCTTAATGGTTTTCCTTTCAGTGTTATCTCTTCAATAGCAGAAGCCAATTTTCTTTTTTTCACTCTTTATTATAAAAGTTTAAAATTTGATGTTAAAAAATACTTTATTTCTTTTAGCTGACAAGGAAAGCATATGAAATTTGCTTATCATGCATGAAGATGATTTGTCCTCCAGTAGCCTTTAGTTTGGAGGTTTTTTTCCCCAACAAATCTATACAGTTTACTGTTTATTGAAACAAATAAGACAGTCCCACGTGTTCTGACATCATGTCCTCACAGAAAGACTCCGAGACCTACTTTTACTCTTTCATTCTTACTGAGTCAGAGAAAGTTGAATTAACTTTTTTGTGAATGTGTCTTAATAATCTGTAAGAAAAACTCATATACTATCTGGTTTCTTTAAACACTGCTGCTAATCAGCTTTGCTCATTAAATGAGAACTGTAGTCAATGTTAACCACTATTAAAATACAGTCATTCCATCAGAGATACCTTCCTCTAAGGAGAATAAGAGGAAGAAAATAACATTTCCCAATTTGAAGTAATGAGCAGATCTCGGAGCTGATGATCGTAGCTACTCAATTGTTCTCTCCCTGAGGTTATGTTGGCTTAGATCCTGCCTCTCCTTTGGCTTCCCCATCTAATTTCGTCTGTGACATTTACTATCCAAAGAGAACACCATTGTTATATTCTCTTGCTTCATTATATTCATTTACCTGCCAGCAATTCTGCTACCTGTGAAACTTCTTTGCTCCACAGTTAGCCATTGCAAATCTAATTTCAAAGTTATAGTCATATTTTGCAGAGTAAATGCAATATTCCCTACTGCACTGGAATGCTGCGTACAGTTCTGGGTCCCACAGTACAGAAAAGGTGCAGAGTTGCTTGAGCGAGTCCAGCAAGGGCCCACAAAGATGATTAAGGGGCTGGAGTATCTCTCATGAGGAAAGGCTGAGAGAGCTGGGACTGTTCATCCTGGAGCAGAGAAGACTCAGGGTGGTCTTAGCAATGTGTATAGATACCTGATGGGGGGAATGAAGGAGGAGACAGCCTTTCTTGGTAGTGCCCTCTGACAGGATGTGCTGGTTTTGGCTGGGGTAGAGTTCATTTTCCTCCCAGTAGCTGCTGTGTTTTGGAGGTAGTACGAGAAGGGTGTTGAAAACACTGACATTTTCAGTTGTTGCTAAGAAATCAAGGACTTTTTCCAGTTTCTCTTATTCAGCTAATGAGCAGCGTATGCTCCCTCCCAGTGCAGGAGCTGGCAGCCCAGCTGGCCAGTGAAAATACTCCATGCCGTGGACGTCATGCTCAGTTTAGGAATGGGAGTTGGCCAGGGGACAGAAAGCTCTCTTGTCCGTGAGTTCGACTTTTCCAGGAGTTCGGTCTTCTTCCGTGAGTTTGGCAAGTTATGCAAAATTCCCGAGGTTGGCAAAATCTGCGAAATTCATGAGCTATGGGAAACCTGTGGGTTCTGCGACTGCTGCATGGGGACTGACTAGGCAGCCGGTCATCGGGTGGTGAGAAGAAATTGTGTTGTGTACAGCTTGTGTTGCATATTCATTATTATTAATATTAGTATTTCCTTTATTGTCTTAGTAAACTGTCTTTATCTCAACCCACAAGTTTTACATTTTCCCATTTCCCTCCCCATCCCACTGGGGGGATGAGTGAGTGTGTGAGCAGCTGCGTGGTCCCAGTTGCTGGCTGCTGGGTTAAACCATGACGCAGGACAAGAGCCAGTGGACCCAAATTGGAAAAAGAGAAAGTTCAGTCTGAAGACAAAAAGACACTTCTTACTGAGAGGGTGGTCACACTCTGGAACAGGTTGCCCGTGGGGGCTGTAGAGTCTCCATCTGTGAAGATATTCAGAACCTGACTGGAGACGGTTCTGCGCGACTTGCTCTAGCAGGTTGCTTGAGCAGAGGGGTTGGATTAGATGATCTCAAGAGGTCCCTTCTGATCTCAACCATTCAGTGATTCTGTCAGTTCTCCAGGTTTCATATCATACTCTGATGAATGTTATGTCAAAATCAGATTGTATTCGTTACAGTTTTGGGAGCACATTTATGCGTTCATTATTTCTGGATTTGGGCTCCTTTTCTTAAGAGAGAGTTAAAGATACATAGCTTTACCTGAAAACTGCCGAGTTACAACTCAGTGGTTATTAATGTAATTGCTACATTTTTTGAAAGTACACAGACAGCTATTATATTTCCGATGAAAAGTTTCTTGTATAATAGATAGTATGCATCTTGTTTAGTATCATCGTTATGCTTTCTTCTGTGTAGCCACGATTTATTTTTCAATATTTTTTGCTTTTCCTGAGCTGCCACAATTTAAATAAATCTGGTATCTAAAACAAATCCTGTTGGCTGCTTGAGAATGGGAAAAGTAAACCAAAAAATCAGCTGATATTAAAAAGAAACTAAATTTTTGTTCGTGACACATTTAGTTTGTCTGACTTGGGTGTGAAAGTGATATCTCTGTGTTGGCAGAGCCTGTCTCTGAACGGGGCAGTTGGCTACCTACATTACAGCAGCTGGCTGAAAGAATACTTTCAGTGAGGTCGTTCATCGCCACTTGCAAAAAGAATTTCATTTCATGGCTCAGTACTACTGAGCTGGGTTTTTGGTCACACACAAATTTCACGAGTGACATGAAGTCTTGACAGATTTTAACAGTTCTGCATGAAAGTATTAGCATTTCTTTATCTTTTCAGTGTTGGTAGTAGTTATTAGCTGCTTCACTGCTTCTTCATTATTTGTTTGTTTAGGAAATGTTGATAGAAAATGTAGGAATTAGAAAAAATTATGACCGATTGATAAACAGTAGTACATTCACTTTATCCTTTGAAGTCTAGAAGATGCATGGAATTTTAAAACAAGACATTACTATGCTGGTAATGTGCATGCTTGATTTGTAGTAGGAGGAACAAGGACACGGTTGTCACTTCTTGGAAGATGTTGAAATGCAATGTTGTGTTTCTCTGTAAAGTGAATTTTTAATATCTCTGATGAGAAAATATGAAGTTCCACTGCATTTCTGTACTTGCTTATAGATAATGATTCTACCCAGTCTGCTAGGTGATTTCCATACAAAGAGCTGTTGTTTTTTCCAGAGCTGCAGCTACATAATTAGGACCTGGGTAAGAAGGACTTGTGAAGATGTCAGAAATTCTGTTTCAATTATACTATAAAACAAATTTAAATTCAGTGAAGTTTGTACAATGTTATGGATTACATACTAGGTGTATGCCCTGAATTTTTATATTCTAAACAAGTAGTTTTAGCTCTATCAGTTACTACATCTTAGTAGTAACCCAACGGAAGTCAGTGTAATAATGCAGCACTTACAGTGTTACATCAGTAAAACAATTCTAAAAAAAAAAAAGCATTTTTATTGTTTTTGTACTTAATTTTATTGCTGTGATATGTTTTCTGTACAGCCAAAATACTGATACTGCATGTAGCAGCAGATGAAAGTCACTGAAATGGGTTAGATTTAACACTTTCTGAAGACGTTAAAAACTCACGCTAAGCAAGCTCCCCAGAACAAGGAAGCATTATTTAATTTCCAAAGTCCCAGACCAGATTCTGATTCATTCTGAGGCTCCTGAGAGGTGGCTGATGGGGACCATCTTACTGAGTCCACAGTATCTTTTACCCTGAATAAAGTTTCCTTTTAGAAACTGAAGAAACCACAGTTTGACATAGACTGTGTGGAATGCCAGGCTGCCAAATAGTGAATAAAAATTTGAGTAGGCTTTTAAAAACTGAGAAACAGTTCTTCGTTTAAGAACTATCCCCCCATAATTCTGATATTCTTTTTACCTTAAGAAATGAGGGTTTCTGCATCTTTCAGAGCCATTTGCCCATGCTAATTCTAGACTGCAGTGTTCGAGGTGAAATGGTTGTGCGGTCCAGAGCGTGCAGAGACACCGGGCTGGCTGTGTGCAGAGGCAACTCCAGTCAAACTCCAGGACAGCATGGCATCACTGCTTTCATTCTTGTTCCAGGAGTGTTTGAGTCCACATCAGTTTAGCTGCACCCTGCCAAGACAGAGATCTCGTCTGTCTGCACTGTGATATATCTAAAAAAAATAAATCCACCGACTTGGCTTGGTGCCCCAGTGCAGTTTTCCCAGAATCACAGAATGGTCAGGGTTGGAAGGGACCTCTGTGGGTCATCTAGTCCAACCCTCCTGCCGAAGCAGGGTCACCTACAGTAGGCTGTAGAGGACCTTTCCCGTTCGTAGGAGTGCCAGTATAGAGTACCTGGCTGCCCGTGCTCAAGCTGATCCGGAGTGGATAAGCTTTGCTGCACACACTGATGCCTGTGCAGTCACGCAGAAGGCGCTCAGGAACAGGCTGTTATCTCAGGTATAGAGCAGATCCATCGAGCTGACGTCCAGACCTGTGTCTGAGCTAGTGGAAGTCCTTGCGGGTGAGCACTTAGCAAAGAACAGTGACTTTCAGGCTAGTGCTACTCAGAAACTTTGAGGGGCTCATGCTGTGCTAACAATATGACTATTATTATTCAGGTTTGTTGTTAATTGGCTGCCCTTTCTCTTGTCTTGGAGTGTTAACTTCAAGAAATAATCATGGAAATCATAGAAATATTGGTTGAAAGGGACCTCTGAAGATCACATACTCCAATCTTCCTCTCAAAGCAGAATTATCACCAACTCTGGATCTGGTCTTACCTGCCTTTGTCTAGTGCAAGTGTTTGAAAACTCCAAGGATAGGGATTTTG